ATATCATTTTCTTAATGTAATTTTTTCATGTCCTTAATTCACATTCCCCGTAAAAAGTTCAGCATGGTATTTGGTTAACATTATCGTATTTACCATTTTCTTTAAAACTAACACCACCAATTTACATGAAGTAAACACCCGAACAAATCCTATTTGGACAAAGCACTGAAATACCTGTCGACTAACCACTAAATGTGTTGTTTTGTATGTGAAGTACACGAAATAATCGACTTCACACCCGAACCCAAAACGATAACCAATGGCGAATTGGTGAAAGGATACATATTACTGGAGAAATACCATCAACATATCAACAGCACTAAACGTATTAGCACTGGTGAGATACGTACATGCCTAGATAAATATTGTTTCGTGTTCGTTTTTGTTGTGTTTCACAATGAAACTCGTCAGCTTGGAGTACTTCCTTTCCATTTTGATACTCTCAGTTTTCAACATCAGGTTCAGGTCTTCTGACTTCTTCTGCACTTTTGCATATGAACAGTACTGGTGACCAACCGAATTTGGGCCGGTGAAAAACGACCGAATTTTTTGAGATCTTAAAACTTGGGTCTAGTCGGATTTCGATCGAACCAAGTATTTAAGACGTGATTTTACTTATTTTACTTGTGATTTTATGTGATTTTTTAAATTTTACCTCCTCTTTTCATTTCAACTGAATCCAACCCATTTGGAATTATTCAATTCATTTCACTTACAATTAGCTCAATTCTCATTTAAATTCGAGCGTTATTCATCGTTCCTTCATTTCGTCTTGTAAATGCCGTAACGATTCATCATTATTATTTTAAGGATCAACCGAACCAATTGTATGAATCCCATATGTCATCCGTTTAGCAGAATCAGCCCCATCATTTGCGTTGCTTTAGTGCCGTTTAACCGTTCAGATTCGTCCTGATTTAATTATCGCAGCAAACTTGCGATTTCAGCCCATCTTAGTCACCGTTTTCTTATTGTCATCTCGGATTTCTTGAACCACTTTGGGTCATTAAATTGGCATTGATTCCACATTTTGCATCATATAAATTGAACAGCAATCTGCAGATCTCCATTCAAAGTCTCATAAAGTAAGCACTTCCAGGCTTCATCTAGGCACTGGTTCCATTAGTTCCTAACAAGTAACCTTGAAAATGTTCATCGATCCTCTGCCGTTTCTTGGTGTCGTTCGATATTTTTGTAACAGACTGATTGATGTCGTTCATGTTGCATTTTTGTCGTTCAATTGGGTCTTGTCTCACGAAATTTTGGACTCAAATTCTTTCGGGGTGAAAACTGAATTACCAAACGGAGTGGGAATTTTGTTTGGAATTGCCACTCCTTTTGCAATTTCCATATAGATGCGGTTAGATATTATTGCCTGATTGTGATTATTTGATGCCAATTGTGAACAACTGACAAATTTCAGCTACGATTTCTGAATTCAAGGAAAACCAAGGAGCCGTGCCATCGCATATTAAAGAAGCACTTAAAAAATATGACGGACTGACCGAAAATATGACTGCATTACCAACCATTTGGATGGGATCTCAAAATGAATAGTAATTTTTCGAAATGAACTCTTTTTTAGCATTTGTTGATCATTCATCAAATAACATGTATTGATGATTTAGATCGGAATACCTTATCGAACGATGTCTTCTGTGTTATTTATTTCTTATACTCTGTCCCTTATTTGTTCAGTCATTGTCGAAATAAGTTATAGTATGCGTTTGGATTCTGAGGGACTGAGTTTAGGTTCAGTAGATTCATGATTTTTGCTTTCGCTGAATTTGTGTGCCGAATGGTCCAATTATTAAATGATAGTTGAAACAGTCGGCTGCTAATTCAATTGCTTTCGATTGAATGCCTACAAATCGCCAGAATTATGCGACCATTTAGGCACTCTCATTTCAGTATATTCATCCATTCGGCAGTGTCGGAATGGCGGAAGTGCTTGAGGCGGATCAAAATGCCAGATTCTGTTCTTTGCATTCTGTTTGTTCTTTTTTGTTTCTTTTCAAAGTTATCGTCACCGTTTATTTCAATATGTTTCTTTTCATTGCTTTTGAACTGAAATTCAGCTCACTTAAACATTTTCAACGATCGAATCCGATAATGTTGTTACCGATCAGAACCGCATTACTTCGCGATAAATCAATCGCCGATGAGTACAAATCATTTTTAACAGATGGTTATGTGTCATTCATATTTCAGGCATTACAAAGGACGTGTGTTCGCGGCACTTGCAAACGGTTCAATTGCAGTTTTTCATAGAGAGCAGTGTGAGTTTTCACTCAAGCATCAATTAACGTGAATGTGTTAAATGAGCAAACATTGAACTTAAATCGTTGCTTTCAGCAGGTGGATGGTCTGAGAATGGTTATCATACGATAACGATAGGACGAGCCACGAGCTCGGTGCGTTCGCTGTCGATTGTATGTGGTCGTATCTGGGCTGCATATCGAAACTGCATCATTGTCATTGATCCTAAAGATTTCACAGCTCATGTGAGTTGTTCTTAACGAAAACCGATTTGATGCCAATGAATATATTTTCAATCATCCTACTGCAGGAATTGATAATCAAGTGATAACCCCAGTGTTGTCAGGAAATTTGAGCCTTGTCTTACTGAGTTGTGCTTGACTGGATTACTTATCGTTGATTATATGTTGTATGTTTTCCTTCGACTGTTTCATAAATGTATAAATAAATATATAGAAAGTATTTGCCGCACATCCACGCCGTGACAGTCAAGTGCGGCATATGCAATGGGTGGGTGATGGAGTGTGGATATCGATAAGACTTGACTCAACTTTGCGTCTTTATCATGCACATACTTACGCACATCTGCAAGATGTTGACATTGAACCTTATGTCACTAAAATGCTTGGTATGAGTCAGTTCGTTTCGTTATTTAGCTTTTCAGTTTCCCTATTTACTGATTTGTCTTGTTAATTATGTTGACTATTCGAAAGCAACGATTGATTGCTTATTAGATCATAAAAATGGTTTTGCAGGAACGAATAAGCTTGATTTTTCGTATATGCGAACAACGGCATTGCTCGTTTCATGCCGTCGACTGTGGATTGGCACTGGCACTGGTGTTGTCATATCTGTTCCCTTAACAGAATGTACGTTAACCGTTTCTGAATTTGTCATTTAATAGGAAATGTTTCATGGTTCACATCCCTGTTAGGTTTCCTACGCAATCTGCGTATATGAAACCTAACATACACAGTCTTCCGGAACTACATCAGATATGTTTTACAATCACTCGCAGTGGGAAATTTGTTCGAAGGTATCTCAAAGACTGTACGTGATGTTGGTAAATGTTATCGATGGTCAGTGAGGAGTTGACGACAGTCGATGATCGGAAATATCTGTTTCCTTAGTATCGATTCTTTAGTCTATCACTCGAACGATTCAGCTGAACTAGTTTCGTTGTTCGATCCAAACTGAAATTGCCGTGGAAAGCTGTATGATTGATAATGAGACGAATCTGGTTTTCTGATTTCAGCAAACGGCACTCGTATCGAAACAAAAGTAGCGTTCCAAGCCGATGGTGAAGAAGTACGTGGACCAGGTGGATTAATTCGAGTTTACGGTGATTCAAGTAGTGATCGAGTAACGCCCGGAAGTTTCATTCCGTATTGTGATATCACCAAAGCACAACTCTCATTCCACGGTCACAAAGATTCTGTGAAATTCTTTTTGGCTGTTCCAGGTTTGTTCGTTCATTTCTCTGCGATAATTCATAACCACTCATTTTTATGAGGTTTATTTTGATCACTCATTTATAATTTTGATCAAAAATAATGAACAATTGCTGAAGCAATCCTGTTGAAAACGCTCGATCGACTGTATGTTTTTACACGTATTGTTTGCTCGTTGTTATGAATTTCTGATGTTTTGCAGGCATAGAATCTGATACCAAGAAAGAGCAAACATCTGAACCACGGAAAATGCTTATCGTTTCTGGTGGTGACGGATATATCGACTTCAGGATGGGTATTTTCATTTATCGGTCTTTTCATCTTGAAAAATCTCCTCTAATCAGTTCCTATATTCAATCCTTCATGATACTTTTGAGTGTTGGCGCATTAGTGAATCCAAATTCGGTTTGGCACCATTATTGAATTTGTGGAGAAGTTCATGGGTGAGGTGGTTTGAGGCCAGCAGTTCAACTTTGATAACATAAATGAATTGTTATTCGTCGAACTCACTTCACAATCTGCATTCCCGAGATTGACATCAGCTTATTGATTGCTGTTCCAGATTTATTATTTTGGTTTTCATTCAACCGATGAAATGATATTCAGGTGAAGAAGACGAGAATTTGAATGGTCGAAGTAATGTACGTCCTCGTGATATGTCGCATTTGATCGTTTGGGAAGTTGATGCCTCTTCGCTTTCGCAGTCTTAACACCTTCATTTAGCAGTGTACTAACTAGATCCATCAAAGTGGCCGTTCTCGACTGATGATTATCTCATCATTTCGTTCAGTGAATGACCACTCAACGTTGCAATCTGCTGCTGTCATTAAAATTTCTGCATGCGCAGCAACTAACTTGATTCTACAGCCATTGCCATTGATTTCTTCTGCATTCATATGTTTCTTGGCAGTCATTTAACATCTCAATATATATTGGTTTGTACAATTCCTAGGAATCTGGATTCTTTTATTTTGTAATTATTTGCTATCAATATGGTTAATATTTACAAATGATTCATTCTTCATTGGATCGTCTCCATCTGTAGACTCCTTCATGTATTGCATTTAATCAACGGGTACACCTAATCAACCATTATTCGATGCCCTGTCGACAACACCGGATTGTGTATTTACTAGTCAGGCCAAACGCTGAAATGCGCTCGGACGAGATGCGCACTGNTGTTGTGTATAAAATAAGTAGTGAGGCTATCTTTCAAAAAAATCCCGTTATTTTGTATGTTGTGTGATTTTTATATGTTGATTATACTAAATGCTCTGAAAAGTTGTTTTGTTGTCTTTTACTCCAGTCAATATTCAGTTTGTAGCCATTTAACTAATTTTCAGCCCTTATCTTCACGGAACATCTATAGATTTCTTTTTCACAGTTCTTCAGTGTTCTTTCAGCGTCCACATTATTATTGTGTGATATTTTCTGCTTATTCTATTCGAAATTCCTACCTGTTTTCATCCTAATTGGTCTCTGCGCACTCTGGTAGAAATTTATTTGAGAAAATTTTCGGTTCATTGTTCTTGTCACTATATTTCTTTCGTTCGAAAAAAGTTCGCGTAAAAAAGCTGTGTTGAAGCGTTCAAAAATTCATTAAGACTTCAGTTTTCGAAAGCTTTAACTGAACTCAATTCCTCCTTGAATGTGTTGTTTGTCATCACGGTATGTTGTTGTTTATATATTGGAGTGTTTGTATCATTTGAATGAAATACTTTGAGATGGTTACATGATCAGCGAGAGTCAGCCGATATTCGACGGCATTGTTCATGCATGAACACAAAAAACTGCGTTGATTGTATCAATCCGATTGAATGATTAGATATTAATAGCAGTTGTCGATTCGTCAAATCTAATCAGATCACAATCATCGAATCTTTTCAGTAATGTCTCAATTCATGTTCATCCAGAAATTGCTCTGAATTAGTTTTGTAATAAAAATTATTATTGATGTATCAGTGCTTTGACAAAAAGTTCGTATATGATCTGTCCACTTCCGAGAGAAATAATGCCATGCAGACACTGGCCTGATTCATTCCAGTTGGGTAGAACAATGAGTTTGAAAATGATAACAATGAGTTTGAAAATGTAACAATGAGTTTGAAAATGATCTACACTGGTCAAACTCCGTCAGTCTTTAAAAAAGGACCTGTTATAAAAGTTCGAGACCGAAGCAATTGATGAAACGGCTGATTCCATAAAGATTTCATGGATACGTTTATTTACGGAATCCATAATGAATGACAAAAAGTTAAAGCGATTAATCTGATGAAAAACTGAAGATGAAATACATTCAAATCTACTTGAG